TAGAACAACAAAAATAACGTCGAGGCCATTTCTGATATAGGTACTCAGACAACGTAAATGTGCTCACTCAAGATTCATAAATTTCACCAATCCCAAAGAATAGTAGTTTTCCGAAAATATAATCCAAACAACTGAATTTCGTATACCAATGCGCTAAAACAGAATCACTAAAAAAAATATTAAGGAAAAAAAAAAGGCCAAGTGTGATTATTTGTACCTCTCCACCATGCTCCAAGACAGTGTCTTCTACAACATCACAAAGCATCTCAATGGAGCGACAGAAACCAAAGATACAAAGACGTCTGCTCGTATCAAGACCCTATCATTGAAAAAAAAATCCACGAGATTTTATAAAATGCTCCCGGAAATGGAAAATATGTTTAATAGGGTAAAAGTTTTACGTTTGTTGCCGCAATATCAAAAAGTGCACCAAGACACAGGCTCTGGTTTGAGTCCATGTAATTGCTTTCTTGAAACCGTTTAGATCTTTGTGAGATTTTCGCCTTCCCTTGTTTCTTCTGCATGGTCAAGTACAAATCGTAACAAAACATCGAAGAATAGGTACTTTCTCGACTCAGATACATCATAAAAGACGAAGATACCATTTGAAATTAAGTCTAAAAGTTTCGCATACGTTCTAGAATAGGATAAATACGTAAAATGTAGAAATTACTAAATGAACGAAAAAGGATCAATGGAACTACTTATTTGAGACATGGTTCGGAATTAAGCACATTGTATATTCTAAATATTCGACGCAACCAGTAACATTTTCTACTACATTTAGAATTAAAATCGTATAAAATCGAGACGAGGGAAACATACATCATCGGAAGAAACACGGCGGGGAACAAGATTCCCACCAATTTGGATCAACCCATCAGATGTAAACAATGTCACTTTATCCTCTGCTACCCACTTTATAGCTACAAAGAGGTGTGGAAGATAAATAAAGAAGAAAAAAAAACATGATCAAAACACAGAGATTAACCTTGAATAACAGTTCCACCTGAGTGCAATTCAATCAATAATAATGTTAAATAACAATTATTAAAAAATTGAAGTATTTCAGATTTAGTGATCTAAAAAAACAAATGAAATAGCGGAAATACATGATTCAGCGGAGTCGGAATTTTCCCAGGGGTAAAATCCGAAAGCATCGTCGCCGAGGAAATGAGGTGATCCGGAAGCTTTTAGGGCGAAATCGCGGCACGGCGATCGGCGTCGCCGGAACTGAGAAGAGAATCTCCGGGGAGTAAACGAAGACGAAGGGGGGGAAATTGATTCCTTGGAAAAGGGAATCGAGGCAGAAAAGGTGGAGAAGCAGAGGGCGGAGGTGGCTTCAGCCATTGATTTTTTTTCTGCAAATTATCGGCAGATGAAATCAATCAGAAAAAAAAAAAAAAGGAATGATAAAGAGAGGAATTTTGTGGGGATGGAGAAGAATCTGAGACGAAGGAGAATCTGAAATGTAATTTGGGAAAGTTAATGGAGAAGAAGGACAGAGTTGATGACCACACATTTAGGGGTGACCACGTGGACACCAGACAACTGGTGAACCGGGTTCGAAATGGTTGGCCGGTTTAATCCAATCTCTGCGTCAATTTTGACTTTGAGAAACTCCGAAATTGGGTATTTGAACTGTAATCGGAGGCCCGTTATGGGCCCAGCCCAATTTAGCTTAACTTCTGGAAAATAATAATATAACCTACGATTTCGAGTGAATTATGTGTTTCGTCAAATCCTATGATGCACGTAAACTTCTGTACACACGCGTTTTCACATTTTGGAAATATTTCGTAAACCGAAACACTATGACACATATTGGAAACATTTCGAAGCAGTTTTCATTCATGTTTTGGGGATGTTCTGATAATAATGAAAAAATAGAAACGCATTTATACGCAAAAAAAAAAATCCAAAACTCATTTTAAATTAAGACTCGGAATTATTTGTGCTTGAAAAAATCTTAAATCTTATGTCTCTTTTTCACTTTCAGTGGTGTTTTAGTATTATCACGTTTCCCATGTTTCCATCCCCATTTTTTTGGAAAATAAAGTTTCGCGTGTCCGTTTTCCCGTTTTATCATTTCCGTGCTACGTAGGTCAAATCACACAAGGTCCCATAGACTTACATAAATAGTTGTGGTCACCAATTGGAAGTGGAAGCATCAAAAGTACGATTAGTTGACTAAGAGCAACTCCAACAGCATCATGTATACCTATAATTTGCACCTTTTGCACAATTTCAACCCAAAATCACATCTCCAACAGCAAAATGGAAAAAGGCAAAATTTGCAAGATTTCAACTTTGCATATTCAAAATTGAGAAACCAAAATTACAATTTAACAAATTGGGTAAACATAAAGAATAATAAAAATTCAACAAGCCATCCCTTTCAACCACAAAATCTGCAGTAATAAACTTCAACTGCCAATATCAACTACCAATTTAATTCATCAACCACCACTGTAAAAAAATTTAACACCAATCAACTCTATAAATTGTGGAATTTGGTTTCATAAAAAATCACCCTCAGCTGAAAAAAAAAACAATGTATCTGAAAAAAAATTAAAGAGGTAAAACAACTTACATGAAATTTGAGTCCGTCGATGGAAGATGGTAGAACAAGTTCTCTACCACCACTCCTCCATTGGATGAGAGTCACAAAATATTTTCTCTTTTTATTTTTATTTTTCCCCTGTCTTGTTTCCCTTTCTTCTTCTGGTTTTTTGCGTCTCTTCGTCTCTTCTGCTGGAAATTTGTGGCAGAAATAATGAGATATAGAGAATGCCCTAGAAAGCAGAAACAATATATTGACTTAATATATTTAGTGCGTATTGTTTTTCTATAAAAAGAGGAGAGTCATTGGCTAATTTTTTGGTCCATTGGTGCTATTTTAAAAAATAATTAAATTTATAGTTATTATTTCTACATAATATGTTTCCATGTACAATTGTAATTAATAAAATAATGAGTGCTTAATTATTTGAATATACGTATAGATAAAATTCAATTTTCCTTTTCAATATATTTTAATTCCAAACAATATCTTAAGTAAATAAAGTAAATTAAATTTTCCTTTTGGAATTTATCATTCTAATTTAGCATTTTTATTAATAATATTGTTATTTTTAATAATTTTTTAAATGGTCGTTAATATTGTCGTTTGAATATGCATGTTGAAATATAGTTGTTAAAATTAATTCAAAATTAAAATGTTGTAAAATAATAAAATATGATAATTATGTAAAATATACACAATGTTGTTGGAGTGTGATGTTAAAAGTGGTGTTGCATAACACTGTTCGCCTCTTAAATTATAGATATAGACAACCAGTTTGTAAACAACTGTTGGAGATGGCCTAA